AAGGTGGTTAGATATCCTAATGCTGGGAACCTGTGAATAAGAGGTTCAGAGGCCTTGCAATGTGATGAATTTTTTTGCATCCTGAAAATGGCATCTGCTGTAGTATAGTCTGCAATCCAATGATAATTCTTTTAGAGACCATCTGTGTGTCTCCTGCACTTCCCTTCTTCTATTGTGCTGCCTTCTAGCAGTTTGGCCTGGCCTTGGTGGCAGTTCCTACCTGTTTGGTTCATAAAGACTGCTCTATTCATTTGCAGAATAATATGATGCAAAGAACATATTGGGAAGAAAAAAGAAATAATATAGTATAGAATGACAAATCAGCCAAGTGCCTACCTCAGAACATCAGTCCTTGAGCAACTGTTAATGTAAAATATGCCATATTTAATAGTGACCTTTGAGAATATTCTGGTCATCTGTCCACTCTTCTCATGCAATCAATGCTTTGCTTTTAAAAACATAACATTTTGTAATTAACCACTGAAAATCTAAGGCATCTAGTCCTTCCTTTGCATATCTGTTTTCAAATGTTTCTCATGAAAGACAGCATCTTGCTGAGCTAGTTCAAAGTCTTCAGAATGGAAGCTGTGCGTGCAGCTGTTCTGATGGGAGATGAAGGCCTGAAGCCTGACCTGAAGTTTGTTCCCTGCATAGTTTTACATTTTCATCTTGAGCAATCAGCCAACTATTTGCACTCCTTTATTATTTTTTTTTTCCCCAGTGGAAGAACTAAATATTAATACCTTATGGCTCTGCTTTATGATAATCACAGAAGCAGACTTTCTAGCCAGCCTACCTGTCACTGGCCAGACTAGCTCATTTTGGTAGGATTAAGGTGGTTAACACAGCCACTTTCCAGTTAACTGGCTTGCTATTTCTGCTGAGCAAGTCTAGTTTCCACCAGAAGTCTTGTAATATTTCACAAATGTCCATCTATGAAACACTACAAGAAAGCTAATTTAAACCCTGCTCTTTTCACAGTTCTCAGTTTTTTTGACGTAAGTTATTATATATTATTATATATTATATATAATTTCCTCTCACCCAGCTTGAATCTCTCCTGGTGCAACTTGAGTCCATTTCCCCTAGTCCTATCACCAGTTGCATGAGAGAAGAGGCCGAGCCCCCAGCTGCAAACTTACTGAGGTTGCACTCAATGCCTTCATCCAGGTCATCAGTAGAGATACTGACAGAACAGGCCCCAGCACCGACCCCTGTGGAGCACCACTCGTGACCGGTTGCCAGCTGGATTTAACTCCATTCACCACCATTCTCTGGGCCTGGCTGTCCAGCCAGTTCCTTACCCAGCCAAGAGTGTGCCTGTCCAAGCCATGGGCTGCCAGCTTCTGCAGGAGAATGCTTTTGGAGACGGCGTCAAAGGCTTTGCTGAAACCTAGGCAGACCGCATCAACAGCCTTTCCCTCATCCAGGTTACTCAATCATAGAATGAGATTAGATTGGTCAAGAAGGACCTGCCCATCATGAAGCCATGTGAGCTAGGCCTGATCCCAAGTTGTCCTGTGCATGCCGTGTGATCTCCCTCAAGACAATCTGCTCCATAAGCTACCCTGGCACCAAGGTCAGACTGACAGGCCTGTAGTTCCCTGGATTCTCCTTACAACCTTTCTTGTAGATGGGAGTCACATTGGCAAGCCTCCAGTCTTCTGGGACCTCTCAGGTTGACCAGGAATGCTGATAGATGATGGAAAGTGGCTTAGTATTGGAGTACTTGGTATTGGAATTAATATTGACAATATGAAAGCAGCCTTTTTAAGAATATTCATGGACTACTTAGGTGTGGTTTTCAGAGCCTTCTGAAATTTCTTGGTATCCTCAGTATTTGCTATATCTTTAGTATGACTTTTTAATTAATATCTCCTTTTTTACCAAAAATTTAGTTTTAACAGTTCATTCTTATGTTGTTATTATTCAGTAATATTGAAAAATCTTCATGAGAAAGTAAGTTTTTTCCCTTAAGTTGTTTAAACAAGCTTGATGTGTTCCCTGAAAGCAAGTGTGTCGTTTAAAACACCTGGATTACAAAACATATTTCAGCTAATTGGAAAGGGGATGTAATTCCAATTGAACTTATTCATTTTTAGTTGTCTTTGGTTCAGTAGGGATGAGGGCAGCAGAACAGACTGATTCCATTGCATCTTTTTGACTCCTGTGCCCCTCTATATCTGTGATACAGGTGCCTTGTGGTTGATGACCTACCTGTGTTAGAACTTCCAACTGTCAGTGTTATTATAAAGTAACACTGGTGACTATTATACTTCTTTTTTTTCTTTCTTCACAGTGACACATCGCTCAAGAAATTAGTATGTATAGGGCAGTTTTTGCTGTTAAAAGAAGAGCTTCTGAGATGAGAACAGTCTTGTGCAAACAAGGATCATGTGTTTCTATCACTGGAATGGAAATCTGTTCTAACATCTTTATTTTTTTGCTCTATGAATTGTTGTGATAATGATGCCCGCATGTTATTTTTCAAGCAGACGTGAGCCTGCTTTTTCTAGACCTGATAAAAAGTTTTGTAATGGAATTAGGGCTGTCCTGGGCTAGTAAACCCTGATTTACAGGCACGTATATCCTTGTGGCCTCAAGTTAAGCTTTGTGTGAGAGCAGGAGAACCTCATGTTTGTCTGCCGACCTTTTGTAGTCATACTCTGAATCTGGTATTTACTGCTGCCCAGATTGGTACAGCAGCAGTTTAGTGGCAGACACTTGTAGTAGTGTGCTTACCATTGGCAGGGCCATAGATGGTCATTTGTGTTGGGCTGTTGGCTGGGCATATGGCCAAGTGACTTGGCAATGAAAACAAAAAGTCCCAAGACAAGACGCTCTAACTTGCTTTTAGTATATGTTAGGAAAACAGAAGTGATGGAGACAGATGAAATTCAGCATTTACAATACTAAATTTCCCAATTTTTTGTTTAAACCTTAGTCTCTCTGTTATAAATCAAAAGATCTTATGGTGTGTGTGATTACGATAGAAGAGAAAGTAGGTATTTTGAAATAATTATACAGTACATCTGCTAACAGCCAGACTGAAGAAACAGAATGAGCTTAAAGTAGTAGTTTTACAGGACTTTCCTCAATTAGAAGTGACTTCAAATATTTCTGTCATCTGCCAAGACAGTTGAATGAGTATGCGACCTTAAAGACAAGACATTGTGTTGCTTCAGCCCTTGTAGGGACTGGAGATTCTTACATAGTTCAGTAAAAACTGAAAACTTAAGTTCAGCCTGTGCCTTTTGAAGTGAAAGGTTGAACACACAGGAATTTAGGGTCACTATGCATTTTTTAAAAAAGTACAAAATCTGCAAGTGAACTGCAGCTTTTTAATAACGCAAATTTTTTTAAGTACTGAAATATGTTTTTTGTTAGTGAGACAACTTAAGCAGCCAGAATGAACCATCCTTATTACTAAAAAAGAAAGAAGCAACTGTTAAAAGTAAAGAACTGGTTTTTCAGTTTTCTGTCCTAAACTATCTCACTCCCCTATTTTATCTAAACAGTGTCCTTTGGCCTGAGATCATAAGCAGAATTATTGTCAGCAAACATTTTCTGGGAAATATGAATGGCTGGAATATCAAAATTAATCTTAGAATGGAAAATATGATGACAGTACCATTTCTAGTTTTGTTGCTACCAACAAAAGTATACTGTTGTGCCAGAATCATGCATTCATATGCCATGCATTAAGCAGACAGCTTCTAAGATTTCTGCCTAAATGACCTAAATTATATATAAATGGTGACACACTTGTATATAATGAAGGATTTATATATCTAATATACAGGAAAGGTATATGTTCATATGCTAAAGCTTTGTTGGCATCTGGAGTGTTGAGGTAAAATTATGATTTCCAGCTGGAACATGATCATTTTAAAGCAAGTCAGTCTGCTTAATTTTAAGATGAGACCATGCACTTAAGCTTGATTTCCACTTTCATATGGACCTCACTTACATTGCACTCTTATTACTACAGCAGAACAGCAGTTAAAATAGGCTGCTACAGTCTCTTTAATGTTCTGGGCTCTTAGTTTATAAAGGAGTAATTAATAGGAAAGTCACAATGTTGTTGCAACAACAGTATTGGAGAACCAATGTGTGTTCTGGTTTGCTTTACTCCTGAACATGCTGGGGGCTTTTGTTTGCTTGTTTTACTTAATAACAATTTTGAGTGTTTCTCTATATTTTTTAGTCAGTTGTTTTGTCAATTGCTTTTTTAGTGAATGTCCACTTTTTCTTTTTTCTTTTTTTTGTTTTTAAGGAAGAACTCATTTTCCTTTGAGCTGATTTGTACTGCAATTTACAATTCCTTAGAGCTGTATTCAGCACCTACTGAGATACACCTCAGAATTTACAGTTAGTTAGAATAAGTCTTAGAAAAAAAAAAGTGGGACTAACTACATGAGGAAACTGTTTACTATCTCCTTAGGTTATAAGTATTTCCTGGAAGTCTCCTTTGTTCATCTATGGGTACACATATGATACTAACATTAGAAGCTGGTCCCTTGTCTCCAAGTAACTCATTAAAAATATGGCATTAAGTAGGCTTGTCTGATCTGCACACGTGGGCTACTGCAGAAATGAAGGCTGAAGCTATCACTGAGTAAATATCTGAGGCTTTTTATGGGAACCGGGCCGCAGAATGAAGTGAAAAGGTAGAATGAAATAAAACCTACTTAAGAACATCAACATTTTAATTATTACTTACAGTATTTGGTTGCTCTTGTAAATATGCTAAACGTCTCAATTCAAATTGACTTACAGCATACCTTTTTTGAGAACTGAAGATTCTGTTGACTTCTGCTCTGGATACACTTTTGTAACAATGTCTAGCTCTGAAAAGTGGGACTATTCAATGTATGTAAATACTTTGAACTTTCCCTGGCTTCTGATTCTCCTGCACCAATAACTCAGCGGAGTTTTTACCTCCTCCAGGCAAACACTGCATGTCTGATCATCTTTTTGTCTATTTTTCCTTCCTACAGGGACCCAATAAAAATACAGCAGCTGCAGAACCAAATTCGTCTGGAGCAAGAAAGTGGCCAGTGGTATCGTCACCAGCAGCAACCTGAACATCGTCAGCACACTCCCTCATCTCCTTCCTTTCCTCCTCCCCCCTCCTTCCAAGAACTTGAGTCCAGCCAGTCTGTGGTTTCTCCTGTGCCAATGAGTATTCTCAACTCTCATACTTCCCCAAGCATGCAGTCTTCCAGCTCCTTTAACTACGCTCGGCCTAAGCAATTCATTGCTGCTCAGAACATCAGCCCTGCTTCTGGTTACGTGACTCCTTCTTCAGGATCATCTACATCCAGCCTTCCTTCTCCTATGTCTCCGACTGCTTCTCAAAAACAGTTTGGGAGAGTACCTGTTGCCCCTTTCTCTCAGCAGTTTGCTCCAGAAGGGGAGTATGGATGGTCTCCTTCTTCTCCATCTCCTCCCCCCCCACCTCCACCTGTCTTTAGTCCAACCCCAACGTATCCAGTGTGTGATTCCTTTCCACTTCCACCCCCTCCACCACCTCCTCTTCCTTCCCTTTCTTCACCTTCCCACAGCCTGTCTCCAACTCCTAGATTTCCTAATTCTGGCCAGTCTCCAGCAGCTTTTCTCAGCTCCATGCTGCCATCCCAGCCACCACCCGTTTCTGTCAACGCATTAGGCCTCCCGAAAGGAGTGATGCCTCCGTAAGTATTAGCTAATGAGCACTTTGAGTTCTACTGCTGATTGTATGGAAGATCATTGCACTTGTTTCATTTTATAGTTTCCTAGGGTCCTTTGCTATTAGTAGCCAGCTGAAAGAGATATGGTAATTGTTTGCAAATGCCTCTATGCTGGAGATTTGTTACAGTTTTCTAACCATCACAGAATTCAGATTCTGAAAGGGTGCTACAGTCAGAACAGCAGGGAGGGAGCATCAGTGGGGCTGATGAACATATGAAAGGAGCAAAAGGTTCTACATGCCCAGGGCATTGGATCCAAGAAAACCCTTCTCGTGACTCAGTTTTAAGACATGTATTCAGTGATATTTGCAGTCTTAAATTCGCACTGCATCTGGGCACAGAGAAAAATGAAGGAGAACGTTGTTCAAAACTCCCTGTAGCTTTGTGATACTTGAAATGTAAGTTACTGAAGTATATATCTGACAACAAAATGGTCATGATGTATTGAATTTTGCCTAGAGGCTTATTTCCAAGGAAGTCTGAAAGTGGGTTTGGGAAGGGATTTCAAAAAAGAGTGCATAAAAACAAAGAGAGCCCCTTCCCTTAACAACTCCAAATGCTTGTTTTCCCCTTTTGTCTACCCTTAAAGCCAAAATAATATTTTGGAGCACATCAGCTCCCATCATAGTTCAGTTTGTCTTTCTGCTGGCACTAGATTCTCATTCCATCCTTAGAGAACAAAGAGACATGCTGAAGAACAAAAATGAGAATAATTGTATCCAAGGCTTATTTATAACTTTGTCTAGAAGTTTGTCTAAACATATTCACTGTAGCTAGGTGACTTGCTCAGCTATGTACTGTTGCAGTGGGAACTTCTGTTGTATCAGTCTAAGATATATGAAGGAAGAGAAGGAGTAAAGCAGAGAGATATCAAAGTAATAAATCATATACATACATTAAAAAACAAACAAACAAACAAAAAAAACCCACCAATAATTATTTATCTTGATTTCTGTTATATGGCTCATTATAGAATGTGGCCATAAAACAGAATTAAGAGAAAATGAATAAATTGTACTTATTGCTCTTTTGCTTATGATAGTTATGATTTTCTGGCTTACTGTTTCCCTTGTACTGGCTGTGTTTCACTGTTGATACTGACTATTGAAAATTGCATGATTGATTTACTGACAGCTTGGCAGTAAGCACAGCCAATAAAAGCCTGAAGTTATCCTTGATTTGTTAATATAGCAAGTACACATAGTTCTGTGTGCTCTGTTGCATTGCTTAGGGCAAACCATTGTACTGTACTGGATTCTTTTTTGAGTTCCCTTCAGTGTTCTGTGATGGTGACAGCCACAGCTCAGTCTTCTGCTGTGTTCCACAGGAGTGGGGAGCAGTATCTTTCACCATTCTGTTGCATTCATGCACATGTTCTTGAAATATTTAGCTGTGTTCCTCTTCCTCACCCCCTTCAGTCTTTGGACACAAATAGAGGCTTAACTCTGCAGGGATGCTTCCCTCTTTACCATTTTTCTTGCTCCTCCAAGCCTAGCAGCCAGCCTGGGTATGCATGTGACAGTGTGCCTCTCTCTTAGAACAGGGCAGCAGCCTCAGGTTCTGAGGCTGGTCAGGACAAGGAGATTGGTTCTATTTGGCCTGCATTCCCTCTGGAAATGTAATCCAGGTGGAAGGTGGATAATGTTAACCATGCTGAGTGTATGTGTATGTGATTTATGTGTCTGTGTACATATATCTATTATATCTGTATGTATGTGTGTATACACACACAAATAATGAGTATTTGCCATTTTAATTATAAGATTCAAACATGGGGAGGATGCACTGCTTGATGAAGAAAAAAATCTGTTGTTACAAGTCTTTTGGTCTCCTCTGGTTTCTGCTACAATTTCAGTTCTGTTGTGTTTTTTATCACTTTCACTTTTGCTTCATCTTTTCCCTTGTCTCTTGCTCTACCTTCACAAATCCTCTTTCCTTGAACGTATTTATTTTTCTGAGATGCCATAGTCTTTGAGCCAATATTCCATATCCTCAGCCTATATCCTTACACACATCTCTAAGATCCACTGATTGAAATGGGTGATATTGATAGCGTGCTGTAACAGACTGGCTGCAAAGGATGCATTGTGGTATTCAAAGTTTTGGTTCAGCTTGGCACCTAAAACATCAAGCTGTTTAGCTTTGTCTCTACTTCTAAATTTATCATGTAGTTGTGATAATTGTGGGTTGCTGAAAGTAGACTAGCCATGGTTTGAAATGCCATTGATGTAAAGGAGGTGTGTGTTTGATGAAAGACTCCAGTTGCAGTGTTTGAATCGGTAGGATTTGTTCTTTAAAAGATAGACTTATGATTTATTACTATATTTTAACTTTAGTGGAAGTTGATTTGGAATTGTAGTTGCATTTAGATATGTCTACTGAGTGCCTGTAACAGATAAAGTGCTCTTAGCACAGCTTTTCTATCTGCCTACGGTGTTTTTGTGGCTCTTGTCCTGTCTTTTTCTTTTTTGTGTGTGTATTTGTGTATTTGAGGGTTGTAATTTACTGCTCTTATTTTGCTTGTATGCTCTTTTTACAGTGGTTGTTTACCTTATTCTCACTCAGGCACACTTGTGTCCCTGATAGCCAAATGTGTTTTGTAGTAAGAGCAGAATATAGGTAAAGCAATAAGTATTGCAGGGCTGATGTTATAGCTAAGAACTGAATTTTTCCTTGGTTTTGGGATTCTGTGGATAATGTACCATTATTTAAACCAGCTTGATGGTATGAATATTCTCTCATTTTATAGATATGGAAATATTTTACACTATTCTCCCTGGTGTAGCCTTACAGCCATTCCTGAAGTGTGGGAAAAACTCCTTATGAGCTTGCTACATTTTATCTGGACATCTGAAACATAGAAAGCAGCTTTGTCTAGTTAGTACATATTAATTCACTCCTAAATATTCAAAGTATTTATTTGCAATGGTTGTATGGTCAGTATTTCAATTGCATAAAATATATTTGAATTTCCAGTAAGCTCTAGCCACTTCAGAGTTACTGTCATTTTCCAGCTGTGACCATGATGTAGCCATGTTAGCTGAACAGACTTTAGGAACAACCTTTTTTTTTTTTTGTGATGGAGCAGATTTGATCAATTCATATCTTGCCAGAACATTGTGTTACTCAGCAAGACGAGAAGTACTGGTAGAGCACCACAGCTAATTAAATACTTCAGGAAATTATGAACACTCATCAGTTGCTTCTGAGATAAAACTTGGCTGGAGTTGTGTTGTTTGGATACAGCTGGTAAAAATCTTGGCTCTTTTCTTTCTACCTAAAGAAAGTTCTTGGGGTTATAAATGTATTGGACTCAGGTTAGCTTTCAGTTACAAAAGACTTGCTGGAAACAGGGCTGGTGTGTGACAGAAACCAAGACTTGAGAGTGTTTTCTCCACACTAAAACCTGTGGAAGCCTGAATCTGATCTTCACCATTCACATAAGAATATGAATTTATTAATTATATTAAATGAGCATGCATTTTTTAATGATAGGAAAAGACAAATTCTGAGTAAGAACATACATTGTTAAGTTTATGTGAGCATAAGTGAAAGCAAACTTAAACACAAGAGAAAGATTTACTGACAAGTTAGTGAATGGTAAAATAAAAACCATGCAAATCATGCCACAAAAGAAAGCACCTTGAGGAAATTGAATTTCTTTTTAAACATTAAAATACCTCATACTGTCAGCTACACATATAACTTTCTGAAAGAAACTCCAAAAAAAAGTATTTTCTTGAAGTAGATGCTCCTTAAAGTAGATATTTTCAGTAATATTATCCTAGTCACAAACTGGAAGAAAAAAAAAGGTCTCAGGCATAGGGTTGAATTTTGGGTGGTGCTGCATTGAGACAGGTGTTGGACTCAATGATCCTTATGGGTCCCTTTCAACTCTGGATATTCTATGATCCTAAATCTTAACAGGAATTCTGTAGGAATCACAAGAGTGGCAACATCAGAGAATTCTGTGTATGTTTTTTCCCCTCTGAATCCATATCTGCTGGTCTGTTCCTGAAGCTCTGTGCTGATTTGTGTATTGAATTCTTTCTCAAATAGCATGAAGAGGCAAAGTAATCTTTGTGTTTCCTTAATCAGCAGTGATGGTAGCCATTGTGAGGAAAAATAACACCTCTCCATATTTTTATCTTACAGCTTCCAACAGGCTGTCGGTACAAATACCAGCTTTCATTTTTGACTAAAATGCACTGATATCCTATGTAGACCTAGATTTGCTTTTCCTATTTATTTCTACAATTTACAGTTACAACTGTGAAAACAACTGAGATTACTTACAGTATGGATTATGTGAAAATTGTGATATGCAAGAGGATTAATTAATTCTCAATTAAGAATTCTGCCACAAGGCAGGGAAGAGACAGGATGTCTTCCTGTTGCTGAGGTTACTCTTCTCTATGCTGGTTGTTCATTCTTTTCCTGCAGTTCACTGTGGGGCTCAGGAAACTGTATCTTAAAGCAAGTGTTTCTGTCATGGAAAAACTCCAGCAATTATTGGGATTAACTTTATTCCCAACTTCCAATTATCTAAAGCTATCGCTTGTGCCCATTAGATGGTTTTTGTTTAAAGCTTTGTGATTTATTGTGTTGTACCTTCTTTCCTCATGGCTTGGATCTTACTTGTGGCTATTGGAGCAATACCTGTGTGGTTTATCTGTGATATCAGATCACTTCTTGTTGATTGTGCTAAGAAACACCTTATTCTGGGGGTTTTGGTTTTGTATAATGTAACAATGTTATATTCATGCAACTACTAATTTTTAAATGCATATCCATGTCAACTTTTTTGAAATATGATGAATGCATATTTGTTTCATTTGAACTTTTAAATCCAGGCTGTGCCCCAGATCTAATCTATTAAAACTGCATAGAAGGAGAAATCAGGGTTTTAACTTACACAGTAGCCAAACTAACTGAGCCCTTGACAACTATTGCATCTGGAAAAC